TCATAAGGAACCACCACCTCTTTTACAGGTTTATACTCGACGATCTAAGCCACCAACTTCTGTGGCCTCATCCGTTACCTTGCCATCTACAGATCCTGCATCCGGCATTTGGTCTGATCCGGAGATATTGCCCATTGCTCTCTGTAAAAGTAAACATACTTGTGTAACTAAACATCCTATAAGCCACTATATTACTTTTGATTCAGTCCCCTTCTTTTTCTTATTTCACGGCCCAACTTTCTAGTATTTTTGTACCTAAAATAGTGACAGAGACTTTATTTGATCCTAAGTGGTTAAAGGCTATGGAATTACAAGTAGCAGCCTTGCACGAGAATAAGAGTTCGGAACTCGTTCCTCAACCGACTAGGATATGTCCTGTTGGTAACAAATGGGTTTTTGTTCAAAAGTTCAATCCTGATGGGACTGTTGATCGATTGAAAGCCCGACTGGTTGCTAAAGGTTACACGTTAACTTATGGCATTGATTATGATAAAACATTTTCTCCAGTTGCTAAGATCTCTTCTATTCGAGTTTTGATTTCTATCACTGCTAACCTTGGTTAGCCCCTGTTTCAAATAGGTACTAAAAATGCATTCCTTCATGGTGACATGCACGAAAAGGTTTACATGGAGCAGCCACCTGGGTTAGTTGCTCATAGGGAGTATAAGGACTATGTTTGTAAGTTGGAAAAAGGCTCTACATGGGTTAAAACAATCACCAAGGGCATAGTTTGAAAAGTTTTCTGAGGTTGTTTTGGAATTTAGTCTTCAGAGGTGTCAGACAGATCATTCAGTATTTCATCTACAGACTGGTACAGGTTATGTTATCCTTATAGTTTATGTAGATGATATTGTAATTACTGGTGATGATGCAGATTGAATTACTGGGTTAAAACAGTTTCTACAAAAATATTTTCAAACCAAAGATCTAGTAAGTTTCAATATTTCTTGGGTATTGAAGTTGCTAGGTCACAAGCAGGTATTAATTTATCTCAAAGAAAATATGTACTTGATCTGTTAGATAAGACAAGTTTCCATGGAACTCGACCAGATAATATTCCCATAGATCCCAATGTGAAGCTTTTGAAGGAGAATTGCTTGAAAAATTGAATTATCTTACCATCACATGACTAGATATTTCCTATGCAATTAGCATCATTAGTTAGTTCTTAGATGTTCCTTGGATTCTTCATTGGAAAGCCGTGATACTTATTTTTCGGTATTTGAAAAAGGCTCCAGGTCTTGGATTATTGTATAAACTGAATGGACATATTAGAATAGAAAGGTTTATAGACGCAAATTGGGCAAGATCCCTGTCTAATAAACAATCCACTACTGGTTTCTGTACTTTTCTCGGTGGTAATCTTGTCTCTTAAAAAAGTAAGAAACAAACTATAGTAACAAGGTCAAGTACAGAAGTAGAATATAAGGTGATAGGTCATACTACTAGCGAGTTGACATGGTTGCAGCACTTTCTTCAAGAAATCAATCTCTCACCTTCCACTCCTATTCCAATGTTTTGTAATAATGTTGCTTTACATATTACATCAAATCTAGTCTTTCATGAGAGGACCAAACATATTGAAATTGATTGTCACTTTGTCCTGGACAAAACAGTGAGTGGTGATATATGTACACCATTTGTTAAGACAGGAGACCAGCTTGCTCTTATGTTTACAAAGTCGTTGAATAGTAATCGGTTGAAGTTTCTTTGTCCCAAATTGGGCTTATATGATGTATATGCTCCAGCATAAGAGGGAGCGTTAAGGAAGTAAATCACGTCAATTGGGAATAGCTAAAGTTTATTGTGTTTCCATGTTTCCATTCTTGTACCAAGTAATCAAACATGTACTCTTGTTATTTTTCTATATAATGAAATTAGAGGGGAGGAAAAAATCTAACTTCTTCTCTCCATTATTCTTTTCCAAATCGTGACAGAGAAGAAGGATGTGAAACTCAGGCTAATTCGATAGGTTCTATTACTATAAGAGTTTGATATTGAAATTCATGATAAAATGGGAAAGAAAACCAAGTAGCAGATCACTTGTCGAGGCTAGAGCAGTCGAAAGAGACAGATGGACATCAATGAGATGGATAAAGCACTATGGTATGCAGACATCGTCAACTACTTAGATAGTGGCTATGTGGATCCAGACCTTACTTATTATCAGGAGAAAAAGCTTCTAAATAAAGCTAAATTATATTATTGAGATTATCCAAATTTATACAGAAGAAGGGCAAACTAAATTATCAGAAAGTGTGCCAAAGGATAAGATGAAATCTAATCCTTTCAAGGGTCATGCTTCAGTTTATGGAGGACACTTAGCTATACTAAAATAGCAGCAAAGGTACTCCAATGCAGTTTCTTTTGGCAACATTGTTTAGGGACTGCCACAGTTTCTATAGATCATGTGATAAGTGTCAAAGAATAGGTTTGATATTGAAATTCATGATAAAATGGGAAAGAAAACCAAGTAGCAGATCACTTGTCGAGGCTAGAGTAGTCGAATGAGACAGATGGACATCAATGAGATGGATAAAACACTATGGTATGCAGACATTGTCAACTACTTAGATAGTGGCTATGTGGATCCAGACCGGAGAAAAAGCTTCTACATAAAGCTAAATTATATTATTGAGATTATCTAAATTTATACAGAAGAAGAGTAAACTAAATTATCAGAAAGTGTGCCAAAGGATAAGATGAAATCTAATCCTTTCAAGGGTCATGCTTCAATTTATGGAGGACACTTAGCTATACTAAAATAGCAGGAAAGGTACTCCAATGCAGTTTCTTTTGGCAACATTGTTTAGGGACTGCCACAGCTTCTGTAGATCATGTGATAAGTGTCAAAGAATAGGTAACATATCGAACCGTTACGAGATGCCATAAACAATATTCTAGAGGTGGAAATATTTGATTTATGGGGAATTGATTTTATGGGACTTTTTCCGTTTGTCCTATAACAATTGATATATTATAGTGACAGTGGATTATGTCTCCAAATGGGTAGAAGCCAAGGCATTGCCCACCAATGATGCAAGGGTGGTGGTAGATTTTACAAAGAAACATATATTCAACCGCTATAGATCACCAAGAGCCATCATAAGTGATGGCGGAACTCACTACAAATTCCATAAAGCCTTTTTCTTATTTAGGAACTATATTTTTCCTCCACAAAATCCGACGCGTATAAAGAGAAAACTCACTATGTTTCTCTTGAAAGCATTTGATATGCTCCCTAAGCCATAAACAAAACCAAGAAGCTTTAGTGCCCATACTTGCCGCTGAAGGAAATTTTATTAAGTTTATGAAGGGCATTCTTCAGTTCAAACCACAATAACGTTCTCATCCATTTTCATCTTCCCTATAAATCAATTGGCATTGCTCAATACTGTCTTCATAAACCCTCCACGAAAACCATTTGAGAGCAGCAAATGAACTAGACTGAATTGGATGGTACTCATTGGCACAAAATTGATAGGTTCATGTTTGTTTCTTTGGAACAGGACCTAACTGGCTAGCCGGTTTGTCCAATCTAGGGAGTTTTTCCTACCCCTAACTTCTTCCATTAGACATGATGGTTCATTATGATTTTGTGCCAAGTTTAAATCAATGATTATGTGTTTCTATAAAGCCTTTCTCCTGTTTAGAAATTCTATTTTTCCTCCATAAAATCCGATAGGTACATAAAGAAAACTCACAACATTGTCTCTTGAAAGCATTTGATATACTCCCTAAGCCAAAAACAAAACCAAGAAGCTTCAGTGCCCATACCTACCTGCCTGAAGGAAACATTTTTTAGTTTATGAAGAGCATTCTCCAGTACAATCCACAATGACGATCTAATCTAATTCCATCTTCTTTATAAATCAATTTGCATTACTCGGAATTGTCTTTATAAACCCCTCCACGAAAACCATTTGAGAACACCAAATGAACTAGATTAAACCAGCTGGTACTCGATGGCACAGAATTGAAATTTCATTTTTGTTTCTTTGGAACTAGATCTAACTAGCTGGCCGGTTCATCAAATCCTGGGAGTTTTTCCCACCCCTAACTTCTCCCATTCGTTATGATCGTTCGATATGATTTTGTGCAAGTTTTGATCAATGATTATATGTTTCATAAAGCCTTTCTCCCATTAGAAATTCTATTTTTCCTCCATAAAATCCGACAGGTATAAAGAGAAAACACACTACGTTTTCTCTTGAAAACATTTGATATACTCCCTAAGCCAAAAACAAAACCGAGAAGCTTCAGTGACCATACCTACATATTTGAAGGAAACTTTAACTTTATGAAGAGCATTCTCAGGTTCACACCACAAATACGTTCTCATCCATTTTCATCTTCTTATAAATTAACTGGCATTACTCAAGATTGTCTTTATAAACCCTCCACATAAACCATTTGTGAACACCAAATTAACTAGACAAAACTGGCTAGTACTCGTAGGTACATAATTGAAATTTCATTTTTGTTTATTTGGAACAAGACCTAACTGGCTGGCCAGTTCATTCAATCTAGGGAGTTCCCCCACCCCCCAACTTATCCCATTCGATACGATGGTTCATTATGATTTTGTATAGATTTTGATCAACGATTATATGTTAAGCCCCAAATGAACTAGACTGAACTGGCTGGTACTCATTGGTACAGAATTGAAATTTCATTTTTATCTCTTTAGAACTGGACCGAACTAGCTGGCCTGTTTGTCCAATCCAAGGTGTTTTTCCCACCTCGAACTTCTCCCTTTCGTTACAGTGGTACATTATGATTTTGTGTGATCAATGTTTAAATGTTAAGCATTTTGAATAAAGAATTTTCCACCTCCACTATAATTGCATATTCAAATAGCTATATCACCGTTGGTATCAAGAGGGTAACACCCTGCCCAAATATGAACTCCACTATTGTGTTTTCCAATGCTTCATATAGGGTAAATGAGCTGCCCAAGACAACTGCTTGGCAGTTGTTCTTAATCAATTATTTAAATATAAATTGATAATAAATCAGGTTTATGAACTCCTAAATAAGCAAGAATGAACAAATCTTATTTTCATACTGCACTATTTGGATACTGGATATAACCAAAATCCACAACACTGCACGGATGCAAAAGACGAACACACCACACTGAATGTACTGCCTACCTGCATACTTGGAAGACTCTACGCTAGTCCCAGACCACCAGTGCATTAGACCAGGGTACGAGATGGATGAATATGAACGAGTGCTATCCTTTGTTGTTTACATTGGCACATGTTCACATCTAACAACTGAGTGCACTACACGAGTATGTCAAAAAAATTCTTGTTATACTCCACGAGAGACTCGTGTTTGGCCTTAATATCCCAGAAAAATAATATCAAATACCTGCTTCAGATTAAAATACATAGTACATTAATCATAAAAACGTTCAGAACAACAGTAAGACTAGCTAACACTGGACATCTAAATGTTTCTAATCCTCTCTCCTGATCTGTTTTAAAGCTCCACACTGGAAACAATCACAGCCCAAAATGTAACCTTTTACTCTAATTCTTGTTGCTAGTAGCATCATAATTTTTCTCTATGTAAATAGCTCAGATCAACGTCACAAGCAAAGCATACAGATATATTCTTGGTTACCTTTTACGTTCAGAGTAACATTTCAATTTATAAACTAGCTAACTACTTCCTCGTGAATGAATATTATGATGTATGATTTACAGTGTGAGCTACATCAAATTAACATGTTTGTTGTTGCATACTGGATAAGAAGAGCAGAGCACGTGAAGTGCTCAAAGAAATTTTCTAAATCTGCTTCTGATCCAAAATAACAATTTTTCTAAACAGGTATCGTAGAATTTTTGTAGTTTGATAGGTTGAGCACACACACGCACAACATGTGCACATGTAAGATCGCACATTAAAGATAAATTTCTTTATTTAATATATAGGTGTGTAAAGTTTTGCAGATATATAGGTCCTAGAAGAACAGCATCCGGAAAATTTAAATTGCTAAGCCCCAACAAGAGTTTTAAAATTGGAAAACCCTCCACAACCTTTGCAAAGAAAACTTAACTTTAGTTTATCAACGTCCACGTCTTCGTTAAGGAAATACAGTTGAGAAATTCTGCATCTGTATCAGGTTCTACTCTTAATCATAAAGGATTTATATTATTTTCAAAGTAACATGAAAATATTATTACACAAATTGCTTGCCAATACCTATACACCTGAACTAAAGACACAATTATGGATGAAACCAAACTCCCATTGCAAACTATTAAACATTAACTTACAAAAATTATCTATTTCTCAGCTAGATGCCTAGATCACAACCTCTGAAGTAGATTAAAACCAAGTTAACATAAACACCAGAATATTATCAGAACATGGGAAAGTCTAAGATTATTAACAACAAGAATGACAAAAGGATGAGGGGAACCTTCTTGAGTAAAAGACATTCTTTTTCTCCGGCACGAAAACATCAGCATTGAGAATATTGCCACCTCTTGAAGCTATGCATTCCGACAACTTTGCCACAATTCCCACCTCATCCTACTATTTGAAAGAATCATAAGTTCAAATTCCTATATCCTTATTTCATTAAAAAACGCAAATAAATTTCATAATCACACATTCATATCCATCGAACATAGACACGCTAATATCTGAATATAAGCAGACTTACTGGGCAATGGAAAACGTGACTGCCATGGATGAGAGAAGGAGAGCTGATTTCATCGAGAGATTCACCAGGAAATTTCAGAGATTTGAAGGACCTTTTAGTAAATAATTGAACTTGAGGGGAAGATCTTCGCAGGAGGCTCATGTCCCAAAAAACAAGAAAACACACACACAATCTTTATGTGTATGTGTGTCTGAATGGACGAGAGCCCATCAAGAATTCAGACTCTTAGCTTCAAATCTGGGTCGGGATTTCTTTTTGATATTTTTCTTCTGTCAATTTCCGGTTGTTGGGGGGTCAATCATAGCCGTTAAGAGAAGGTGTGGTAGGTTATTACATTTTTGCTTCATATATTGGGAAAAAAACGATATTTGGGCAATATTTCATAGATTAATGGAAAATTTTATAATAATAATATAGGGATTCATATACATAACTAGTTTGTAACATGTGATCTTGCAATAGTATTGTAAAGTTTTTTTGTGAAAAAATATATAAACAATTACATCTTAATTTAAAATTGTAATAAAATTACAAAAATGTTATACTTATTGTAAATTGTAAATTTATTAGTGAATGATAATTGTACTCCTACAATTTTAGGAATTATTATTGTTATATCCATTTTTCTTTCCCTTAGATATAGGGATTTTGTTCTCAATAAAACATACAAAAATGTATTACTCTCTCTCTCTTTCTCTCATTTCATAATGCGCTATCAGCTCGATGGTTTAATTTTTCAAATTTTAATGAAAGAAGTAATTTTTTAGAAGAATAGATATTTATCACTTGTACCAAAATTAATTTGGTGACATGTGAATTTTTATACATACATATGCATCAAAACAAGATTGCTTATTCTTCTACTTCTTCAATGCATTTTTACTTGTACGCAAATCTATTATAATTATTTCATTATATGCATAACTTTGTCCTATTTGCATATCTATATACGAAGTCAATTCACGTGCATGCTTGGAAGATTTTTTTGCTTATGCATTTTTTGTAATTAATTTTTCTATATAAATTCGTATCATGTTTATATGGTAATTAAATCTTTTTAAATGTTTTTCTATAAACTTTAAATTAATAATTTATCATGTTTTTACTGTTAAAGTAGAACATCATTATAATTAATATTTCAGAAGAATATTATGTTTATTGCTCCTAAAGAGCGTAATATTATTTTCAATACTCTAAAAAATATTGATTTATTGTTTTTGAAGAAATAATAATAAAATATAATTCCAAAAGAAACACAAATAAAACAACTCTGTGTTGTCATTTTTTTAATCAAAAACTAATTTGTATAAAATCAATATTCAAGAAAAATATTAATTTATCGTTCTTGAAGGGCATGAATTATAATTTTCAGTATTCGAAGAAAATAATGACATATTGCTCTTGAAAAAATAATAATTAAAGATAATGTGCACTCGAAGTAACACATTTTCGAAGAATATATCTTTTTGAATTCATGTCCTATTTTTGAAGAAAAACATATAACTAATATTTTGAGGACATTGATTAGTTCGACTATTTGAATTATATGTTATTATATAAGCTTTGATCATAATTTTCAAAACTAATTATCGAATTATATCTTATATTAAACCATAAGTTCAATTTGACTTTATTGTTTGGCATGAGCAGTTGAATCATCACTTGATTAATAATAATGCGAAATTAAAAATTCAAATGGATACTCAATAAAGAATCGGAAGATTTGTTAATTCAATCCTATATAATGTTTATTCTCTTTCATGAAATTTTTTTTATTAAGAGGGTGTTTGAGAGTCATTTTTATGTAAAAATACATTTTAGAATAGTAAATTGATGTGAAATGTGTGGTTGAAAAATAAGGAAAAAAATTTTATTTACATGTTATATTATTTTAATAAAGAATGTGTGGTTGAAAAAAAGAGATAGAAAAATACATTTTGAAAAAAATGGCTACCAAACGGGGCCTAAATATCACTAGCTAAAATAGAGACTGATTTCCCTATACTTCTGAAAATTAATTAAGGCGATAAATGGGGCCACATTGATCATCTTAAATATTATTTGTATCTAATAGATTTGATACATATAATAGATGATTGCATGGTGTTCATAACCTGAAATTTGCAAAATTACTGCTCAAATTTTAAATTATGAGCATAATTATCAGATTATATAATCAAGACTATATCTTGTCAATGCTAGTTTGCATAAATCTCAACATTTTAATAAGTGTTAGTTAAGATGTCGATAAATGGTTTAGCATTATAGTTTGTTAAATGCCTCCAATTAATTTAATTGAGAACAAAATATTTCCTAGTTTTATTTAGGGAATTCTATTACGCATTATGCCAAAATCATAGTTCTCCCTGTTATAATCAGCTAGGGGTGGGCAAAAACCGACCCAACCCATCCAAACCGCCCGACCCAACCTGGTTGGGTCGGTTTTTTTGTTGTTTTTAAGTGGGTTCAGTTTTTTGGCTACGTAAGTGGGTTGGGTTGGGTCGGGTTGTGGGTTAACCTATAAAAACCAACCCAACCCACCCAACCCAACCCGAACTCAAAAAAAAAAAAAAAAAAGCGTAAATGGCTAATCACTCGGTCACTCCCAAATCCAAAAGAAGCCCTAAAATCTCTCTATTCCCTCTCCCTCCTTCCCTCCCTCCCTCTCGCTTTCGCTCTCACTCAAGCTCCGAAAGCTTGCGAATAATTGTATTGGATTGTAAGGGTTCATGTTATTCCATGCTGTTGGTGGGGGCATTGGATCTGGACTTGAATCTTTTTTGCCTGAGAGGCTTTCTGTTGAATGGTAAGAAATCAAAGTTGGGGTTCACTATTTACCCATCCTCGCAAGTTTCGACTGCTATGGTTGAGCCATACAACTCTGTTCTCTCGACCCACTCTTTGTTGGAGCACACTGATGTTGCCGTGCTTCTTGACAATGAGGCGATCTATGAAATTTGCCGCAAGCCACTTGACATTGAGAGGCCAACATATACTAATCTGAACAGACTCATCTCTCAGGTGATCTCTTCTTTGACTACATCTCTGCTATTTCTTCTTTGCAGACACTATTTAATGATTTGGAGCATGTTGTATTGATTAAATTTTTTTACCTTATAAGTTCTAATCCCGTCTCACTATTAGAGAATTTTGTGAGAAACCAACTTCTAAATTGGTTGTGATTTCTGCTCTTTAGTGTCTCAGTTGAATTTTATCTATGCTGTGGTAATTAGTTTTGTAAATTTTGAGGCTCTGGGACTATATTAGTGATGCTTTACACCCAAAAATGAATAAATTTAATCTTTATTAACAAGTTGTCCTAAACCGAGCAACCCAACCCAACCCGACCAATACTTGATTGGGTTGGGTTGGGTTGGGTTTCAAACTTTACACGGGTTGGGTTGGGTTAAATTTCGACCAAACCGATCATGTTGGGTTGGGTTAGGGTTGGGGCGAAAACTGACCCAACCCAACCCAACCCACGCCCACCCCTATAATCAGCTTATGTTCAAATCTTCATTTTTTATCTAATTATTTTGATAGTGCAGTATATGTAAAATTGAACACCACTGAAAAAATAAAGAATGTTAAGAATAAATACATAGTTTGAATCCTTTATCCCAAATGAGCAATATTTTATAACATTGAAAAAATGATTGTCAATTTTGATTGGAGTTAGGGGGAATTAAGAAGTTGGAAATAATGAACAAATGCATCATTATCTAAATCTTTGCAAAACATAATTCAAATAAGAAGTTCAAAAAATAATATATTTCAATGCATTTACTGATAAAAGAGATCAACAATACCTCATATACTAGCTTTAAATGCTCCAACAAGAATCGATGTCCTAGGAGGACAATTTGATAGTTGTATATTTGATATAACCATAACACACCTAAAACGTGATGATGTTCGATTCTAATACAAAAAATCTTCAAATGAAATGGAGCAATTAGCAAAGATGGTCTCATTAAGGAGACATATAGTTTTAATGAATATTTAGACATAACAAATTATAAAATCTCAAAAGAGTTTGGACACTTGAAATAATGAAACTTGAGATCTATCAACAAGTTATGTTATTATGGGAAAAGAAATAGAATCGAAAAGAAAAAATTATGGACAACAATTTTGTACATGATGTATTGCATCATATAGCGATGAATCAAAATAAATGCGTCGAAATATATCGATCGAAGTAATGATTGATTAAATAAAATGGATGTAGGTAGTATAATCGTCTTAGCGAATATTTGTTGATAAAAAGCTATAAAAATAGGGATATCTGCTCATGTCTTTTTATAAAGAAAACAAATATTGGATTTACAATTGTGACAGTTTATGTCGATGATTTAAATTTAATTGAAATTCTTGAAGAGTTCAATAAAATTATTGATTATTTGAAAAATAAATTTGAGATGAAAGATTTGAGAAAAATCAAATTTTATCTTGAGTTGCAATTGAACACTTACCAAAATGATTATTGTTCGTTAAATTATCTATACAGTAAAAGTCTTAAAATATTTTTATATAAATAATGCACATTCATTGGCATCAATTATGGTTGTTTGATCACTTGATATGAAAAATGATCCATTTCGTCCACTAAAAGATGAAAAAAAGATTCTTGATCTTGAAGTACCATATCATGCAATTAGAGCATTAACTTATCTTGCAAACTGCAATTGACCCGAGATAACTTTTTTTATAAATCTTTTTGCAAAATATAACTCCACACCAATTCAAAGACATTGAAATAGTGTTAAACATTTTTTGTTATCTAAAGGGGCACTATTGATTTGGGATTATTATATTTTCAAAAGTTGGAATCTACTTTAGTGGGATATGCAGATACAAGTTATCTCTCTGACCCACATAAAACTAAATAAAAAAAAGAATATATGTTTACACATGAATGAATAGTTATATCATAGAGATCTGTGAAGCAATCATTGATGGCAACTTTCTCAAATCATTCCAAAATTATTGCAATTCATGAAGCATGACAAAAACGTGTATGGTTGAGGAACATGGCCCATCATATTCGAGTATCATGCTGTTAACTTCAATAAAAGATAGTCCAACATTCTCGTATGAAGACAATGCAGCCTATATTGCATAACTCAAAGGAAGCTATATCAAAGGTGATGAGATGAAGCATATTTCTCCAAAATTCATTCATACGTATGAGTTTCAAAAGAATGACGACATCGATGTCCAACAAATTCACTCAAGTGACAATATGGCCGATTTATTCACAAAAATATTGCCGACATCTACATTTCAAGAAATTGATTCATGAGATTGAAATACATCGACTAAA